ATCGTTGTAGCGACACTTCTCATACAGTAGGAAACGTTACGATTCGCACTGTGATTAGGCCACTTGTTTCCACTGGAAAATCCTTCGGTGGGTGGGACAGAGCTTTTGCAGGAGGGATAGGTCTACTGTATACAACACGTGGGAGGGCTAAGACGTTGCAAATGCTCTCCAAAACAGACCCTCGATGGCTCTATTTTTGCACGCAGTGTAACTGCGGCATATTTATGTAATATACTTGCGCAATATATCCCTTTTAGTGTATACCCTCTCCTCAGCGTATGTCTCTTCATTATGCCATGTTACAAAAAAACCCAAACCGGTGGCTTCAGTGTTTTTGGACTTTTTTTGCATATTTTTTATTTACCATCGCATATTAATGAACAACTTTTGATAGCGGTGTGTGCCTTTAGGTTTTTGTTTTCTCTCAGTAGTGCGACTCCTCTCAATGTGTCGAAAGCGGCAAAATTGCCCGAAATTGAAATAAAAGATACAAAGTCAATTGGTAAGTCATAAGTAATGTAATGTCAATATATAAAGACCCCCAATGTTATTTGATTGGATTCGATTTTCCCAAGAATGACCGGTCAAAAGTTTTAAACTCTCTTTTTTCTGTCACTATGATTTATACTTCCGATATTAGCACCCTTTTCCTGATATTTAGCTCAACCATTATTGAGCATTACTCCAAACTAAAATGGATTAATGTCAGAAAGAGGCCACTAGCTTCACAGAAGAAGTACAGTGAGGAGCACTGGCGAAGGTATTTCCCAGCACTTCAACACTGGACGAAAGCCCTATAAGGCCGATGTCAGACTTTGCGAATCGCGCGATTCGCTAGCGTCTGCGGTCGCGTCGCGGCCAGTGAATCACTCAATTGGCTGGTACCGCAACGCGACCGCGGACGCTAGCGAATCGCGCGAATCGCTAGTAGCGAATCGCGCGATTCGCAAAGTCTGACATCGGCCTAAGATTTTCTGGTGCCATGATTGTCGAAGGGGAATCGAAGGAAATCTCGCGCCAAATCACCACTTGCTCCACTTGTGCCACTGCTAGCAACAAATCTGGTTCAAATGCCCAACTAAACTTGTGGGTGAAGCGCTTTTGCGGCGGAGCGTTATGCAAGTGCTGTTCAAGACAACAAAGTTCACCTTCATCGATGAAAGCGCCTTCTTCGCCTTCCTTGGCACCGGCTACTGCTTCGTGGGGACGCATATTCTTCCCGTGCGCTTCTCTACATCGTGCATCGCTCATTCGATATGGTTGTTGAAATTGTCTAACATCGGTATTCGATAATCACCGGCACGATTGCATTGGAACTTATAAGAACATATAAGCAGGTTTCCCGATTTCGGCTCGCAAACGAAATGACGATCGGATTCCGTGCATTAATCGTTATTTTCTGTGTGCTTTCTGCTGCGCAATATGGAGGAAGCCAAGATAGCCAAGGTAAGGATGAGCTCCAGACGGCAGTCGCATTGCACTTTGTATGGTGCAGTGACAAACCGGGTACGTGTTTTTTTTAAAGGCTACCATAGAAGATCCCTGAATAAATTATCTTTCACCGTCTACGTACTTCTTGAACTTGATCCTCTAGACCGCCACAATTTAATGTTCCTACCTGCGCCCTCCCGAAAAACAGCAGCCCTCAAGGGTAGCCTTAGGGCTCTCGCCTTCCTTCTTGAGATTTGACCCGAACCAGGTGCCGCTCTCTATTCGTCTCTGCTCTCGCCATTCAGTACCATTGTGGATAGTTCAAGTAGTCTGTAAACCATCCTTCACCAGCTCCTCATTGAGGCGATAATTCAGAAGACACAATAAGCTGGCAAAATAAGGACTAATGAAATATTCTCGCCAGTTTCTGAGTAACGGTAGGCCGATTTCAGACAAAAATGCGAACGCACAGAGCAAAAATGTTTCGATGGAGGATACAATGCAGGGTAAGTAATTTAATGGTTTTGTTTTTATTCATCTTCATAGCTGTACATTTTAGTAGGCCCAGGCGCAGACTTCGTAACCATTCGGAAAATCTCCAAAGGATCATACACGACCACTGTCTCGATTGGACTGGAATGCATTCCGTTGCTTGTTGGATTGTACTTCAGCGTGTAAAATTCATTCATTCCAGAGTTAAATTAGCAGTGTTGTCATTTAATTGTCCACATTCCATGTTTACGTTCCTGCTTACATTCCATTCGATTGATAAAGCTTTCGGTGTTGATCAGTCTTTCTGGGTTGCGCCACGCATTTTACTTTAGACAGATTCGTTGAAGTATTTGGGTGAATATGGCCCAGGGTCGAGCGTGTGTTGAGTAGTCCCTAGACGAGGAGAGTCGTAAGTGTAGGAATCACCAATGACCAGAGCAGCGATGGCCTATTCGGATGTGGATGGGAACTGCGACTCGAGCCGGATGTGGAGTGCACGGTGGATCTCTGAGCGAGAACGACCCATACTACGCGCTCCAATTCCCGTACTCTACAATAGAGGTGTGACTTCGAGGGATATCAAGAGGTCTTCAGAAGACTAGTCGAAGATTAGTCGAAATGGCGGGAAGAAATTCCACTACTAAAGAAGAAATGCAATTTTCAGCGCGCAGCGTCTCCCCCACGCACATTCACTCTTCTACAGTATTTTTAAAAGCGAAATTTTAGCAAAAATACGCGAGAGTCTTTGAATTCTGAAGCTCTTTCAGCGTGTGCGAAATGATCTCACTAAAGATAGCTATTGGTCGCTGAAAGGGAAGTATTCGCAACTACGATAGGGAGAGTGCTTGTGACGTAATAATGGAGAAAGACCCTCGAAAGGTACTGTCTTTGAAATTACCTAACCTATCATTCATGGTGAAATGATTGGAGGAAGACGAATCTTCCACATTATAGACAGTGCTAAGTAGTAACATTTTGTACATAATACATTTGTAGGTATCTACTGGCAAATGCGCAAAAACTCGCGCTGTCAGAGAATTTTCCTTGATTCACCTTTGCCAGTGGAGCTGTTTTCGACATACTTGACTACCAGTTTTGGAAATCGTTGAAGGAAGAGATGTTCTGCTTCGAGCACGGTAAATTAGGTACCACCAGGGTCCGGTACAGTCTAAAATATGCAATTGATCGAAGTATGCTTTGAAAATGATAAAAAAAATCGTGCTATTGAAGAGAAAAGCAACGATAAGGTTGTGGCTGAAAGGAAAGAGGCTTATGCAGGACTCCCATAAAGGCTCGATTCGGTGACAGGGTACGTCAAGTCTTGGAATTGGCGGACAAACAGACTGCTGACCACAGGGTCAACGCCCGTTCGATACACGAATCGGAGCGGAGTCGCATCCTGTGATTTTATAGAAGGTTGTCTCACTGTGGCTTTGAAAGCAATGTTATGATTAAGGCGTAACATAGCGGTGACGGAGCATTTTCGGTTAGGGAGTGGTGAAATTTTTGCATTTGCCGCTTCATGGTACGTATTTACCTAGAGTTGGAGTATGCCAGCTTCCCTCACTAATCAAATACTACGCTAACAGCAATGATGGTGAGGGTGGTGGTCGGAGGAAGAAAGGGGATCGTATCGGGGAAGCCTTCTTAGATCGATGGTTGTAGCTTGCGGGACCATAGAGCCCTGAAGAGGTAGAGGGTGGGAGGTTCATGTCAAAGAAATTTTGACCAAAAAGTCTTGAACGTGATGGTGTACCCTGCTGCTAACCCTGGTGGTACCTACCTATACGTTAGCTCAAAACGATATCGCGAAGACAGTTAAAAAAATCTTTCACGAAAATATCATGGTTCTATTTCAGCCATAAATCACTGGTTTGAGACTTATCAGTACCATGATTTAAACGAAAAACCATAAAATTTGATTTGTTTGCGATATAAAAAGATTTTACCGAAAACGAAAGGACGTTCGAAGTGCCCACGGACGTCTTTCACAAATGCTGGCGACGGGGATGCTTCCATTTGGTTCTTGGAGTGCATTCACTAGGAAAGCTCTTTGGCCTTCTGCTTATTGCATTCACATCTTACACTTCTACTCCATCCTATTCTATCGATCGATTTGTCTCCACTCTCCGAAATCGCGCGCTTTAACCCGATTCTTCATTTGCGTCGCCTGGTACGTAGCCGGCCAAAGGCAACTTCTTTCCATGCCTCGCCTTTGGCTCTGCCTGGTCAAAACCCCCGACCATTACTTCGGTCGTCCAAGTGAGTTGCCTTATATATTTCTAGCCTTTGTTATCTCTTGCGGAAAAATCCAAGAATTCTTCACGCTGAAATTTTCCGGATATGTCCATCTCATGACATTTAAGTATCCTTATCATCAGCTGATACATTTCATCTTGAGAAAGAGTTGCATGGAGTGGTTAGCGAGAATTCCTTGAAGTTGGACAAAATTTTCCTTGGCTTAGACTTTGGAGCATGCATCCTTACTAAATTGGGGATGGGCAACACTGGATGAAAATCACTCAGTATACATTTGTCTCTAGCCAGGAAAGTATCAGATTCATGATATTCCAAAATGAAGCCTCATCTTCACTCAATTCACGTTCGTATTATTTACTTTGTTTTTTTACTGGTTGCATTTCTGGCCTTTCCACTTTCCATTCTCGAGTTCAATAACCTATTCAAGTAGGTGCTGGTTTACCGAATAGAGAGCGGATTTTTCGCGCTTTGCACGCGAACATTTGTATGCATGTAGGGACCCAGCGGTCAACAGATGGACTCAAGGTTTTCCGGAAAATGTTTTGTCGCGCCAGATACGCGAAAAGTCGCTTCTTCTAGTGAACACAGACTATCGATGAAATGTCTATCGCGACTGCTCGTTTGAAAAGTAGTTTGAGTGAGAACAGTAGAGACCTTCGTTCAAAACGGAACGCTAATTGTACAAATTTTCTTGAATTGATTTAGTGAGTTTCAACTTGTAACGAGCATTGAACATCGAAGAATGAAGCAGGCATACCTGGCAACTTGTTTCCGTATTTTCGTTTTCATCTCACTAAAAGTGGGCCCCAACACTGCACTCATCGGTTGAGAGAAGCCTGAAGTGAAAGAAAACCAGTTTTGAGGAATCGCAAGTGAGTGACACTCCTGACTTATCGAAAGATTCGTTCGGCGTCCTGCCTCTCTTTATTCAGAACAGGTTTTCTACAATTATGTTTTCTACATTAGGAACAAAGCGCATGGAGTATGGGACTATGCTTCATTTTTCCTGAGCGGCCCTCTGAACGCTAAAATAGGGATGAAGGGTTGGTTCATGGCTCGATTCCCTGAAGTGACAAAGTTTTCCATTCCCGAATGGCACTCGCACGATGTTGCGAAATGATAGCCACTGCAGAAAGGATGATATATTCCCATCGGTAACCGACAGATGCACCACCCTAGCCGCTCGGATAAGGAAAGCAGAGTCAGCGGACGTGCTGCGTGTTGAAGGACGTACCCTGGTACATTCCAGTTAATTTGACGCCAATCGCTACAGTACACACTGCGACTCGTCCACTGGCTCTGCCTTGTTGCCGCGCAATGGGCCTCCTGTCGGGTACTCATTACCATCACGGTTCACAAGTAACTCGTATGGGTAGGTTTTTAATAAGATCTAGTGTCAAAATTGTGTGGCGCTTGAAATTTTTACCAACTTTTTTAGCATTCAGAGAGCCATTCAGGAAAAATAAACCATAGTTCTATGTTCCATTCATGGCTCCTTAGACAATGCAAGGACCGTTTTATAAAGCGGGCATGACCTAAAAGTCCTTGTTGGTAATCATTTCATTACCGAGTACAGGCGTATTGCCTGATCCACGCCCCTTGCTCCACACATTGGGCGAATTGAATGCATCGCTAATTCCACACCACCAATATCAACGGCTAGTATTCCCAGAGAAGCTGCTAACTCAGATCCAAAAGTTTCACCTGCATCAGCGCTATTGAGGTCGACATTGATCTGAAGATAAGTTACTGGAAAACGAAAACTCATGACCCTTAACTTATTTGGAGATGCTGATTGAAATCCTGGCTACTTTCTGACGGAAAGCTTGTACCTGCAGTGGCACCCCCGCTTCCGCAGCGATCTGCTTGATCACAGAATGAGAAGTAGGTGTCGTCGCAAACTTAGCGCCGCCGGTGACACACAAACCACCTTGGATGGCTGGACGATGATTTTTCTGCAGCGAAATTTGGTACACAAAGAACCAAGTAGGAGTGAGCACAGATACGGTTAACTACCCTCCCCTTCAAAAAGCGAGAAAGTGTCGGGTGCAGACCATGCACCACAAGTGACGACGGCCTTCACAAAATGTTAATGTTTTCTGCCAATGAAATGATTAGCCTGTTGCAGTTGTATTCTATCATTGTCACTAATTACAACTATCATTTACCAGAAATCAGCTATCACTATGAACAACTTCTAACCAGATTTACTTGGAGGCCGTCGTCAGTTGTGGTGTTTGGTCTGCACCCGACACTTTCTCGCTTTTTGAAGGGGAGGTTATGCATTATTGGGTTATTCCATGATTTCTGCCCGATTTTCGTCCAAATTCAAATTTCTTCAAGTAAAAACAGTATCATTGTGGAAATGTAAATATTATATATCGAAGATACATCAATACCTCTAGTGAAGAGGTTTTAGTGCTGAGAAATCGACCAAGACATAACTTAACGTAGGCAGCACGAAACGTATCGATGACCAAACGAACATTCTATGCTTTCAGGAAGTAATTCATGCAGAAATCTTGAAAGATATGAGCACAGGCACGATCTATCGCAGGTATATCGATTTACTAAGGCGCCTCAAAGAGAAATACCTTATCTAAGAGATCAGAAACAATTTATCACAAGAATGCTCGACGTCGGTGGGCAAAACTTTCGCCCCAGCCGGGATTCGTACCCGGATCCTTTGCTTTCCGGGCAATCGTGCTACCAGTTACACCACCGGGGCACCATTCCATCTCAACTCAGCTTCAATGGTGAAGTTACCATAGCTTATCAGCATTCGCACGTATAACCGATGATATCCAGTAAAATAAGTTCAAAATCTGGTAACATTCTAGTTAGAGCTTTCAAGCTTCAATTGATGCCGAAATTGGCCTACCGGTTCATCACTTTTACGTGCACAAGTTCGTTTCGACTCCTCCCACTCCAGGGATGCTCAGGGGGTACCTGCTGCCCACTCAATGTTTATTCTTTTTGTGAATGACCTAATGGATTCCATTCCTTCTGGTGCAATTTGCAGCTTTATATGCTGACGATTCCAAAATATACACAATAAAACGACTGCCACAAAGCTCCAGACTGCAATAAACTCTATCCAGACTTGGTCGAAAAAAGTGGCATTTAGATATATCCCTCCAGAAGACGGCAATTATGGGGCTCGGTAAAAATCACCCGAACTGTTACGTTTTACATCGAAGGCGTTCCGCTAATTCAGATTCAGATTTTTTTTTAGGTGGAGACGTTCAAAAATGTTCCAGTTCAAATTATCATCGTATCTTGAACAACAACTCACTGCTTCAGAAACGAGCTAGGAATCAGTGTTATCATGAGGTAATGTTCCCGCGGCGCTGTTGGTGCATCGACGTCATAGCGCAGGGCCAGTGACCGCCGCTGTTAGGGCGCTCGCTGCGGATCCTGGCGCGGGGTTCGCACAGCGGGAGAGAAACGTCACCAGCGGCTGCGGAACGCAGCGCGTGATACTGCGTTGACGTCGAAATCAACGTCAACAAGCTGCGGCAGTTCGAAGGTGGGGCGATAGTGGCAAATCCGCCGCTGCCCTTTGCTGAACAGAGCTGGCTTTGCCTCATACAACTGGGAATCAGTTGTGCGCAGAGAAATGATTGTATCATGTTTAGGCATCATCCTTGCTTTAGGAACTGAAATTCTTGAAAATGTAGAGAAAGTCCGAGGCTTTCATGTGGAAACGGTACATTGTCAGTAATTTGAATAAGCTAAGTGTTCTTCGTGTTCGATTCCTGCTTACTTCTACTATCACATAGTGGAAGTAAGAGTACAGTAGATGCTCGGAGTACTTAATATTGAAGTAATGGTGGAAAAGCGGCCCTTGCTCGCTGTCTCGCCGCCGTTGTGACGTCACCAACACGCGAACGCGTCCGCGCCGCGGGTGACCTTTTCCATGAAGCCGAGGTTCGCAGTCTCCGCTGCCGAAAATATTTACAATCGGTATGTGCGGAAAAACTGTCGTTTCTCTTTCGCCATTGTGCCATGCATTTCATGAAGGTAACGAGAGTCCCCCTGCGGGAAATTGTAAGTGGTTATGAATATCTTGAAGCCCTCTTTACTGAAGCTAATACCTACTCATTTCAGCAACCGTCAATCCGCCCTTCCACTGTAACCTACTTGATTATCTCATTTCTAACTTATCATCTCTAATTTCCCTTCTATGTCACTGATTTCTCCCACTTCCCTTTCGTACAAATTTGCGACTGTATGCCTCGTGTCTCGTGCCTTGTGTCTTCATATCTCTGGCTAAATCTCCCATCCCTTGGCCATAGGAGGAGTTGGCGGACCTAATAAGTTGGTATCCGAAAGTCACGTCCCAGTGCTACGCCCCGCGGCTTGCAATGTTGGCCGGCCATTGCCCTTCGCCTCCTTTTTTAAGGCCATCACCCCCCCCCTCCCCGCCCCCTTTTTTTATATTGTATTCTTCTATCCTGATTATCCTATTATATTACTTTGTTCCTGTCTAAATTTGCTGTCATATGCCTATTGTAAGCTAGCTTTTATTCACGTATTGATTTGTTTTACCAACATTGTACAATAGCTATAAATATATAAATATAAATATAGTATTAAATCAATCACCACCGAAGCCTGAGTTGAAGGTGTATATAGTGAATGCCCTGGTCGGTGGTAAAATGGCTTAGCCACATTGCACCGAGAAAGCAATGATGATCGCAGGTACGAATTCCGGATGGGCGAACACTTATTGCACAACTCATCAGTCTTGTGTAACCTTTCGACAACCGCGAACTGCGGCGTTATAAACAGCAAATTTATCAATAAAAACATTGATCAGTAAACAATGATGTCTAGCGAATTAATTGCATAGGCGGAGCACCGGCGAAGGCGGTGCTCAGGGCGCTGAACACCACCAGGGCGCTGAACAAGCTTGGCTTTGGTTACGAAAGGACCTCACCCCCTGCCTAGTCCCCTAACTACCGCTTGCACTGGTGCATGTACTTCCATGCAGATGACATCATATTTTAAAGACGGTGAGGGCAGTGAAGGAGGGCCGCTTCTGCTCTGGAGAGGATATCTAGAGGATACTTATCCGTAAGTTTCATTGGAGGCGACACCTTGTACGATGAAGTTCGATGATGTGCACGGTGACTCTTTTTTGCCCTCTCATCGATATTTTTTCTTTCTTCTTTATTCGTCATTCTTTTATAACCAATAATAAATCATGAATCATGCACCCTTATCGTCTGTGAGGCAGAATAAAGCGTAGGCTTGTCAAGCACAGAAAAATAAATTAAATAGCGATTTTCACGGAATTCTTGTTAGATTCGAAACATTTGCAAATACCAACTATGCGAATGAGGACTTACTGCAATTTTTTCCGGATGATTCGGATGTGATGCATGGGCTTCGTCAACACATAGCGTCATGCTTTTGCTCGCTCCCAGTTCAAAAGCACTCACACATCCAATGGAAATCCTCTTCAGCACGTTTTCAAGGAATAATGAACCTGGTCCATGAGCGGAACTAAGCTCAGTCTCAAAAAGAACCAGTAATTTCTGAAAGCAGGCGGACTAGCAGTTTTTACCTCTTCGTTATCGAAGGACACAGCAACTCGAATATTTTCATCGTTAGCTACATCGTCATCCTTGCTCAGAGAATTTAGAAATCCTTGGAACATCGTGTAAGTTCCATGGGCATTGTCAAGGCGTTGTCCTGTGATGAACTCGTCGCGTATTCCACCTCTCCTCTGGAAATAAAAGCCAATTTTGAATAATAATTTTGGGATGGGAGCATTGTGACTGCAATTTTTTCGCAGAAGAGACGAAAAAAGCGATCTTATGTAAAGTTTTCGGCACCCGACAGAGACCCGTCGCGCATCAAAAAGTTGAGGCAGTCGAGTCGCAGCGCGTACTGCGATTTCGTCAAGGTAAATATAATTAAGCACTGTACGCCCCACATTCCGCGACGCGCGCTGCGACTCGTCCGCTGACTTGCCTCCTCGCCGCGCAACGGGCCTCCTGTCGGGTAATCAAGTTTTGTTTGATATGAAGCTCCAATCAGTTAGTCTACCGCCGGTTCAACGTCGTAAAGGTACAGATCCATATCCACAATCTTGTCCGGAGTCGTCTCAGCAACTTCAGCAATGATATTCACGAAGTTTGCATGATGGTCAGCATAGACGCGTGGAGTGCTGTATTCATCCATCTAAAAGAGTGCGTCTTAGAAGACACGTGCACTCGAAAATAGTCAGTAAATAATTCTTCAAATAAATGAATCCTGAATGGACTTTCAGGAATTTTTCGATTTTTGGTGACCAAAATAGGCAAGTAAAGCACATTGCAGAAGCTGGGCGTTCATGTGATCAAAAAATCTACTAGAATGCTCTCGTGGCCGTCGTTTAGTTTAATTTAATTTGTTTGTTCGTCCTTATTCCATTTATTTATATTTTTATGTTTATACTTATTTTTATTTTTATTTGAAATACATTGGAGTGTTACAACTGCTCATTCAACTTGCCTTGTGTTCAGGAGGCAATTCACTAGTGTCGATCCTGTGCTCGGTTTCGAAAATCGGTCGGAAATGCTCTTCTGTGTTGAACTCAAAAGAACTGCTTTCAGGCTCTGTCGAAAGATCTGCTCCAAGACTTGGGATATGCAAAATCGGAGTATCGATTTTGATCAAACGTCTCACCATGGAATTCCCCTGGAATTAAAACAAACAGCATGTTTAGAGCAGCAGTCCCAGCAGGGTTTTTACCTTCGACACTAATGGTGTGGAACGATGCGCTAGCCCTAGTCAAGAACATAAGAAGTGTGACTGAACAAAAAACTCACCTTGGAAAGCCGCGAAAGGGAGCTTGAACGCCTTCGAAGTGGGCGTGGCGGCCATCGCTCGCAAGCCCCTCTTGCCAGCCGTGGAGATCGCGTGATTGGCTGCGGAGGCATTTGCGATCGAGGATCGAGTTCAAATAGTCCCTGTGGTCCCAAACGATCGCAAATGCCTCCGCAACCAATCACGCGATCTCCACGGCTGGCAAGAGGGTTACGAATATCCAACCACGCCCACTTCGAAGCCGTTCAGCTCCTTTCTAGCGGCTTTCCAAGGTGAGTTTTTTGTTCAGTCACACTTCTTATGTTCTTGACTAGGGCTAGCGCATCGTTCCACACCATTAGTGTCGAAGGTAAAAACCCTGCTGGGACTGTTGCTTCAAAAGGTCCCCTTTAGGTGTGCTAACCGATTTAACAATAACTTCACCAGCAATCGATAAATCACGATCAAACCATGTATGCCATAGGCCTTCTCCATAGGTTCTGATTCCGATCTTAAAAGCAATTCTACAGTTGGTAATTTGCTGCTACACAATTGAGTGGCTCTGACGAAGACTTCAAATATGAAATATAAAAAGAGAGTTCCCATTTTGGAATTGCAAATAGGCTGAACATTCCTATCGAAGCCTGGCGGAAAAAGGAACAAATAGTGAGCCCTTAAATTTTGTTGATGTGGAAAAACGTGTACGGTAATGCCTTCACAGAATAAAGCATTAACCCAAAAGAGGTCGTTTGAAAATCAAATCTGTGGGTAGGATAGAGTAACCCATGAGCGTCATCGGTGTGTCGTCGTCGCGTCTTGAAAGTGCACCACCCGTCGGGTACCACAGAGGACCAATGGCACGGCGGACGAGTCGCTACTGTCTGATGAGGACGTACTATAGAAACTCCCATTTAACTCGACGTTCAATCGCTACAGTACGCGCTACGACTCGTCTACGGCTTTGCTTTCTCGCCGCGCGACGGGCCTCTTGTCGGATACCCGTGTCCCTGATACGCAGCATGGTTTATGCCGTATCGGTTAATTCAAAATGTGCGGGTTAGTGGAGCTGCGGAGCAGGATCGTTCAGAAAACTCGTCCGGCTCCTCCCCTTCCCCATTTCAAGGAGGAACAAGGAGAAGGAAGAAGCAGTACGGAAAAGGCTGGAACGGCCGGCAAAGAGCTGTATTACACAACGCGTTGTGAAGGTTGCATCATGCGTACTGTACCTTCAAACCTTTAAATATTGCAGTATTTCTTACCAGATTGTACTTTTCTGACTGCAATTTTGACTTTGGCTTCACACGAGGATACACGGAGTCATTATGAGCGGCAATAATTGAAAATCCATTTCCCGGCTGGAATTTTCCACCGACGACGAACGCCAGGATGGTCGCTCGGCCTCTTACAATGATGCAGTGAATATATGCAGTTTCTCTAACCTATCACTATTGAAAAAGAAAATCAGAAAGCAAACTTAGTGACAAAATATCTGCCAAGAGGTTTAGTGTCCCATTTATCGCCCTCGTCCAGCTCCTCAAAGCCTGCGTCACATAAGCGCTCTTTCCATTCTTGCACCGCTGAAAAATTCATCTTATTGTAACAAAACTGAAAAACGGATGACGCTTTGCGCTAGTTCTTGTTTACTGAGTGGCCATGCTACCGTCAATCGAGCACAGGCCTAACAACAGGTATTTTGGTAGCGGTAATCCCACGACGGGTTTGGGCGGAAGTGGTGTAGTGACAAGTGGCGCGCTTACCACGCGAGCGGTCCGGGGATCAAATCCTGGGTCGTGAGTCGCCCGGGCCAACCAAGCCTTCCATCCCTCCGGGGTCGGTTAATTGGTACCAGACTTGTCTGGGAGGATAAAAACACTGACTTGAACATCGGCTGGCCCCCGCAAGTCATTGTATAGGCCAAATCGCATTCAAACGCCATTACGAATGTACAAATGGAAGTAGAATGCGTGCCGCATCTCAGAAAAGGGATTGATCAACGGACAAATTCTTTATGCTTTATGCTTTCATCTCCACGACGACATAAAGACAATATCGCGTATTCACCAGGCGTATTAATATTGTTCTTTGGATACAAGGCTTCATATTTCGATTATCAATTTTTTTCCTTGAGTAATTGTATTTTTCCCGTTGTGCTTTGTGCTTGGTTTTACCTTCTTTAATTTGGTATAATTAGTATTGGAGTGGTCTAGTCATGAGGATCGGGACCCTGCATTAGTTTTTATACTCACGATCAGTCAGAATATTCCGCCACTTCGTTTAACCCTTCCTTTCTAGAAGGACACACCTCAGAAAACTTTTCTGTTTGCTAATTATGTGACTCACTTACCAAGCTTTGAAGAAGTAACGTCTCCCTGCTGGGAATCCACGAGGGCATCTGGTCCTTACCTGACTTGCCTGTTCCACGAGGGTGTCGGTATACTCGTGTCCCGAAGTTCAGGCAGGCTTCCCATTGCACCTATAGTAGTGCTATGGGCACCATTGCCGACTGGTGCAGGTAAGGTACCTGGAATTACACTTGAGGTCACCCAAGTTTGAGTCCCTTTGGGTTTCCTGGCGATTAGCGGAGCAGCAGTGCTATTTTTCTCGTGCTCGGTGCTTATACCTTGTGGATAGAGGAAAGGGAATCAGGAGTCCTTTTATACTGTAGTTTTTATAGTTCCGAAAAAGATAATAGGGCTACCGTCCCCATTGACTAAGCACGGTGTTTTCTATTGTTAGTTTCTTTATAGGCGTTTCAGCTGCACGCACGAATAATTAAATTAATTATCCTACTATATATAAGCGGCTAGCGTGTGTCTGTTGGTGTGTGTGTGTGTGTTTGAACGGAAATTCATAGCTCGAGTCACAGTAACGATAGCGCAGTGGTTCTTACATATGTTATAGGGGGTGGGATGGGGACACAAGTGGTACGTGATAGGAACTGATAACGACTGATAATAGCTGATAAGAGGGGCTAGAAAGCGAGCATCGCCAATTTCGTTTTGCCGTTCATATTGGTAAGAGCGTCTATACTTACAAGTCTTATGTGGGGCGGTCCCGGGACATTGGTGGTACATGATTGGAAGCGATAGCAACTGATAATGGCTGATAAGATGCGCTAGAACGCAAAAGTCGTCGATTCCGTTGCCTGGCTCGCGTTGACACCAGAGCAACCATACTTACAAGTGTTATGTGGGGTGGGACGGGGACATTGTTGGTGGGTGCCAGAAACTGATAACGATTGATAAGGGCCGATAAGGCGCGCCAGAACGCTGAAGTCGTCGATTCCGTTGCCTGGCTCGCGTTGACACCAGAGCAACCATACTTACAAGTGTTATGTGGGGTGGGACGGGGACATTGTTGGTGGGTGCCAGAAACTGATAACGATTGATAAGGGCCGATAAGGCGCGTCCAGAACGCAAAAGTCGTTAGTTCCGTTACGCAGCGTTGACACTAGAGCGTTCCTACTTACAAATTGTAGTAAGTCGTAGTAGTAACAAAGGTACGTGCACATTATTTCGATATATATATCCAGCTTACTTAATAGAATTCGACTGCATAAATTTAAAAAACAAGTCTTCAGCGAAATGATAAGTTTCATTTCTGACTATTAAGAAAACCCAATCTCATTAACCGCTAATCCTTTCGTGGTTCTAAATAATGATGAATGTAATGAATGATAAGCATTAGCTCCTCACTTATGTAAATAGGCATATTTCGTTTTGATTTTGAGACTGACAGCAATCCTATTCACCGCTAAATTATCTTAATTCAAGAAAAATGCTGGATGTTTACAGTTGTGATCAATATACCAGTTCAGCTCAGACGTTATCACGCGTATTCTCGATGAGCTTCAGTGAAACTGTGGAGGGTCTAACACAGTCAATAGTGAGATGGTTAATGGAGTATCTCATGCTGATATTCCATGGGTCCTTCAATTTCGCTAAAGCCTGCCGTGCCGTGTGATGCGCGCGATAGCCGGGCACGAACAAAAACTGTGAGTTGGAATAAAATAAGAGTATAGAGGTGCACAGCCGGACGAGCGATAATGGCACGGTCAACAATTCTAGGAAGTAATCCTCGACTCTTCAAACCGTATGGAAAAAAGGGTCATTTGCCATGGCTACCGATCAGCAATTTTTGTCGCACGTGCTACAGCGGTGAATGAACGTTTTAATGGCAAATATGGTTATGGTCAACTGCATCGCGTGAGCCAAAGGAGGCCACCCGTAATCGCTCTAGCTTTGGTGAACAGCTTTTCAAAGACTGTAGCTCTGATGATGAGTATGCAAGGCGTTTTATATGCCCACTTCGATCAGCTCTCCTCTCCTCATAAGATGAGCGAACAGATAACAAATGGGCTGGCACGAGGAGGGTGCCTTGGTTTTCTGTACGCAGCGAAACAGCTTACCGTGTAATGGAGTGACAGCCTTATTTAGAAAATCTACGAAGTCCAGAGCGACGCTTTGACCATCGTCATCTGAAACAACAGCAAGACATCAAAGGCACACCTTACGATGAGCCAGGTAGATTAATCCCTCAAGTGGACATGACAGAGTTGTCCACCAAAGTCATAGATATCATTTTTCCCGGCTCGAAAAAGACCTCAAGGGCGGTAGGGACTTTACAAACGCATCGAACCCTTCCGCTTTTCCTCAACAGCATACAAGTGTCCTTCTTTTCTACGAACCTCCGCCTGTGCCCTCTTCTCCGCACTCGGTGTCTGATTGAATTAGTAAAGCCGGCCTACAAAATTGAGTAAATCTTAAATTTT